TCAAGGCTAGCGCTCTACCACTTGAGCCGCAGCACCACTTCCCCCTCTTTTCTTTTTGCTTATGTGATGCTGAGGAATCAAACCCAGGGCCTCATGCATGCAAGGCAAGCGCTCTACCACTGAGCCACTTCCCAGCCCCTGCCTTTGCTCTTGTATACATAAAAACATCTTATTTCTTTTATATCTCTCTATGTCACTTTTATATGAAAAGCCAGACTCCACAGGTGTTAACATTCTACTGCCATTCCTTTACATCTATTTATCTTCCTTCACATGTATAACTTCACACTCAAAGAACTATAATTATACTCATCTTATTTATAACTCTGGTCTTATAAAATAATCTACTGGTTTTGTGTAGGTTTCATTTCATTTTGGTTTTGCTTCAACATATTATAAGCATATATGTACATACATGTATTTATGTGTCTGTGTATGTGTCATACATGACAGGAGGCTTAGGAACATTTTAAACCAAAATTTTAGGGTTTAAAATTCTGTTCTTAAGAAAGAACACCAAATACGAATAAACATACAGTCATAAGTAACTATGCTTCTTACTCCAGCATATTCCTTATTCTTTATGATGGGTTTTTTTTTTTTTTTGGAACAGGCTCGTCTTTATATAAGCAGATAAATGATTTGGCAGAAAGGACTTAAGCAGATGCCAGCTGAGGTGGATTCTGATCTTGCCCTGTCAACTAGTCTTGAAACCAGCAACAAATTTAAGCTCTGAGACTCGTTTGCACAATGGGATGGTATGCATGGCTGATTTTAGTAGTTTGAAGTACTCTTCTCAGTTATAAAATGGCCCATAAATATTAGAATGTCTACGTTTCTTGAAATCTCATCTTCCTCTGACCTCAACAAATAGGCGCACCTGCCAGAAAGCAGAAAGGTTTCTTCCACGTCTCCCACAGTTCCCTGAGGCTTGTGCTTATGCTTTCTACTGTGGCTGGTTTATGTACCTGTGCCAGGCTGTCAGGAATTCACCCCTGCAGCTCCGGACAGCAGGGCCACCGGGCACGCAGCGCCCCCTCCTGGACAGTGGGCAGAGCCAGGGGGGAGCGAGGCTGAGGGTCCACGTGGGACTCGGGGCAACATCTTCACCGCTCTGATGACCCAGAAACACCCCAGATGGCTCTGGACTCGTATTTTCATGGGAACTTTGGACGTGGCCGCGCGTGTAACACTCCCGCCGAGCTAGATCTCAGCAAACGTGCACCCGTCCCGACCCAAGCGGAAGGCGAGGGATGCTGGGCCCTGCGGGCGTGGCTACGGTTATGGGCGTGACTACCGTCGTAGTGGTGACTGTATAGTGTGGGCGGGAACCCGGCCTGTGGGGCGGGCTCTGTCCGGTGGGGAGGGCGTGGCCTCCCCCTCGGTTACTCACCGCAGGATTGGTGGGGGTCCGCCTCGGGGGTGGGACTTCCTTCCGGTAGGCAGGTCTTCACTCTGCGTGAGGACAGAGCAGGGTGGGCGGGGCCGAGTTTGGGAGCGGAACTACGGCGTGCCCACGCTTGGCTCACCTCGGCCACTTCCGTGTGCGAGCCGATGAAGTCGCCTGGATCCAGAGTACTGCACGCAGGTACCGAAGGTCCGGAGAGGTTAGTGGGGTGTTGTGGCGGCCTATGGAAGGACTAGGCAGGCCACTGCGGTCGGGAAGGCTGCTTCCCTGGAGCTCGGCTTCCGGCCGCCCGGCCGGGCCGCGGCCTCCGGGCATCACCAGGCGGGCTCCCAGGGCCGGCCTCCGTGTGACCCCTGTTTCCACGAGGTTGCCGTTGACTCTCACACCCGCAGTCCAAGCTTGCTCTACCTTCACCGACCTGCGTCCCCGACTGACCGCTGCGTCCCCCCTGCGGCTTGGGTCTCCGGCATTGTGCACGTTACTTAATCGTAGTTTGCCACTCACGTGATACCTTTCCATCTGTGCCTGCGTTCGTTCTGCACGTAATGTAGTTCACAGTGACTAGCTGAACTCTAGATGCTGCCTCTCCTCTATTACTATAGGGGGAGCTTTCAGATTTCATAATGGTGTTTTTTATTTTCTGCTTGTGTAATAATAATATCCTGCTGCCTTCGATTTTCTAAAAGCCTGAGTTCAAAGGCTTTGCTGTCAGGTAGTTTTTCTAATGTTAAGTCGACTGATGTGAAGTCCAGTCGAGATGTAATGCAAGCAAAGGCAAAAGAGGAGGAATGTAATATCAGAATGTTCAGATAACCATTTGACGAATGCAGCATGGAGAGGTAGATGACCTAAAACAGATTTAAGTTGGGGTAAGAGTACCAGAAATGTACTTGGCCTGTATGTACTAGGAGCCACTGACAAACTTTTAACTTTGTGAAAGCCTATCACTTAGTACTATGCAGGTACCTACTGTGCAGCGCCTTAACCAAGAGTTTGACAAACTGTCAGTAAGGAGTCATTTAAGTAAATCCTTTAGGCTTTTGTACATCCATGGTCACAGATAGCACATGACTGAACTTAATGCTCCAGGAAATAAAGACTGGTGTCAGCCAGGGGTGGTTAGTTTGCAACCTAATGCATCCTGGAGCTCTCATCTTGCTCTACATGGCTTTAAATCTTGGCATGTGTTTGTTACTGTAAGTGTGACTCATGACAAGCTAACTTCTCTTTGCATCAGCTTTTAAATCTGTAAAATGGGAGTAATAACCCAGTGTTGGTGAGGAGTAAATGAGTTATAACACATGTCAACACAATGTTTGTACATATACCAAAAATGCCATTTTAACTATTAGCATTTTAGAAATTGTTCCTCTGTGACTGAACAGATTTGAGAGACATTTCTAAGATAAAAATTATAGGCTTAGGGGCTGGGAAGGTGGCTCAGTGGTAGAGCGCTTGCCTTGCATGCATGAGGCCCTGGGTTCGATTCCCCACCACATAAGCAAAAATTAAAAAAAATGATAGGCTTAGTGTGTGTTTAGCCACAGAGCAAAGAAAACCAGATTTCAGGGCAATAAATAAACATTGTAAACATACAATGTCATTTGGGAAAGTAATTTGAAGGAAATAGGAAATGTATGTTCAAGAACTGATTTTGATTTTTCAGGAGAGAATGGAATAAAAGAATGAGAAAGAAGTGGGGCTGTTCCTAATGTATGATAGTAGTATGCAGATTAGCCAAGAGATGGTTAGTGAGCATTAATGTTGTCAGATGCTGTAAAGAAAAAGTTGTGTTGATATTAATGAAGCCCATTGACATAGATGAATTGGGCTAGATGCTGGGGATGCAGAAGAGATTTTGACTTTAAAAACACATAGTTCATAAAAATTGGCACTAATTGAACTCTTTCTTTTCTAGACAATGGCCAAGAATAAATTAAGAGGGCAGAAGTCCAGGAATGTGTTTCACATAGCCAGCCAAAAGAACTTCAAGGCTAAAAGCAAAGCAAAACCAGTTACTACTAATCTTAAGAAGGTGAGCATTTATTCAGAAATCTATTCACGGAACCAAGATATAGCCTACCACCCAGTACTGATAAAGTATTTTGTTTCTTAAAGTGCAAAATTTGCAAAGAAACTTTATGTTTGAAAATATCTGTGGGATTTCTTTAAGGTTAAGTAGCTCCTCATTAACAAAATGTTTTCAAGTTTAAATAGTAGTAGTCAACTCTCTAGGACTCAGTAATTAGCAATATGATGTATACCTGTATACCCAGGACTTAAGGGTGGCTGAGGCAGGAGGATCTTGAGTTCAAGACCAGCCTGTATTACATACGGGGAAAAAAAGTGGCAGATGAGGACACTGCCAGGCTTAAATCAGTTGTCAAGCAAGTTTGAACAAGGAAGAATAGCAAAAGTTGCAAAAATGCAGAGACATGATTAGCTGAATGCAGCTGGGAATTAATGAAATCATTAGAAATTAGTGTCAGTGAGGCTTAAGAACTGTTAGTAAACAACGCCGACTCCTAGGTGAGGAAGTGGTGCAGTTATTCTGCAGGAGCTCATGGCTGAGGTAGGAAGGAAGTCACTGAACAATGAATGGATAAGCAGTCTGTTAAGTCAGGGTCTGAGATTTTCCATGAAGCAGCAAGTAATTGTGAACTTAGTAACAGCAATAAGGGCTCCCAGAATGTTATCACACATACAGGAACACCACTCCCACCTTTTAGACACTAAAGAGGAGTACTGTGGGGAGCTTTTGAGGCAAGTGTTTCAGGGATGTATTGTCAGTAGGAAGGGACAAAAATTCATTGCCTAGGTTTTTGTTTTCCAGATGAGGATGTGAGCACCGTAGCCTAGTAAGACAGGCAACATTTTAACACTTTTTGGTTTTTGGTGTGAATTATTACTCCACTTTGGTATGGTTAACTTAGATTTTTTTTTTTAGGCTTAACAAGGATGTAAACATTTTATCTTCATTAGTGTGAGATGGTTGATTTATGCCTTTTGTTAACAGATAAACATTGTGAATGAAGAAAAAATTAACAGAATGAATAAAGCTTTTGTCAACATTCAGAAAGAACTTGCACACTTCTCCAAAGGCCTTTCTCTAGAACCTCTTCAAAAAGAGTTGGTAAGTAGAAATGGTTTCCTCTCATTAGGCCCAGAACATCAAAGGATAATAAATTACATATTTCCCAGGGTTTCTAAGCCTCTGATATCCCTGGCTTTGTGATTTATATTCACTTTTAAGACATTGAGAGTCTGAATATAAGAACTGACTCTTTCCAAAAGTGTGACTACAAGAAATAAACTGGACAATAGATTACAAATTACTTTTGTTTACTATTTTGTCAGTTGTACGTCTTGAACTCCGGGCCTGAGTGTTATCCTTGAGCTTTTTCACTCAAGGCTAGCTCTCTACCACTTTGAGCTATAGAGCCACTACTTTTGTTTCCTGTTAAACTATTAAATGTAACTTTCCTATCTTCAGATTCCTCAGCAGCATCCCGAAAACGAGCCAGTTAATGTTGATGAAGCTACGCGACTGATGGCGCAGCTGTAACAGTCCTCCCAAAAGATCAATAAAATAAATGTTTTATACAACTTTATTTTTAAAACATCTTGTTAATGTACAGGCATTGGCACATTTTTTAAAACAAACTACATAAACAGCTCTTTCCTAGGCTCTAGGAAAGTGGAATGTCAGAAGTCAACAAAATGTGATCAACTTAAAGTGCTAAAACAGAAGGCACTTCACAAAATCTGTTCACTGAAACAGTTACATCCTTCACCTTATAAATGGCAGTGAGCATCTGGACTGAAGGACATATCAAAATATAGCTTTGTGGCAGTAAAAATACAAAACAAGTTGATTAGCCCTTGGCCAACATTTTTGCTTTTGATGACCTAAAGTCCACTTTAACTTTCCTCTATGAAGAATCCACACAAGGATTCAGAACTGGAAAAGCTGGAATCTAAATTACACAGGGAAGGTGAATACAAAGTTTATTTTCCCCTGAAGCAGTAGAGCCCTTCGTTTTTATGAAGTTTTGTGAAGTTAAAAAAAAAAAGGAAGCATTAAAAAGAAGAACACTTGAGAATCAGTGAACTACAAGGTGTTACATTCATTATTTTAAATACTTAGGTTATTAAGAAGTCTAAAATGTTACAGTTAGAGGTAGATAACAGTCCCAAGTGGCCAGGGAATCTAATAATTTAGTATCTGGACATCAAAGAGATCACATACACCTTCATTATCATCTAAATTAAAGTTGTAGTCATCAGCCGGAGTAGGAGAAAGCCGTAGGAGAGGAAACACTGCAAACAAAAACAGATTCAGTGTTAATATTGTGTCTGCATTTGGATGATTGTTGCATCGTAAAATATGACAGTCATTATTCAAATGGTTTCCTATGCTACACCTGGACTTTAAAAATACTTAAATGGGGCTGGGAAGGTGGCTCAGTGGTAGAGCGCTTGCCTTGCATGCATGAGGTCCTGGGTTTGATTCCTTAGCACCACATAAGCAGAAAAAAAAAAAGCTGGAAGTGGTGCTATGTCTCAAGTGGTAGCGCACTAGCCTTGAGCTGAAGAGCTGAGGGACAGCACCCAGGCCCAGAGTTCAGGTCCCACGACCGGACAGCCCCCCCCAAAAAAAAAACAACAGTAATGATCAGGAATGAGGTTCAGTGTTGAACAATGTTGAGCTGTTCTCTAAGGACAGACAGTACACTCATAATAGGGATTAATTTGGAAAACACAGTAGTAAGTGTGTTTGTGTGTATACACACTGAGCACATATATGTTATGCCAGTCCTGAGACTTTTAACTCAGGGCCTGGGTTCTGTTTCTTAATTTTTTATTTTTATTTATTTTTTTATATGAAGCTATGTTCTACTGCTTGAACAACAACTCTACTTGTGGCTTTTGGGTGGTTAATTGGAGATAAAAGTCTCATGTACTTTTCTAATGTGGCTGGCTTCAAACTGTGATCCTCAGAATTTTTGCCTCCAGGGTAGGTAGGAGGATTACAGGCATGAGACTGACTTTACACAAACATTTTTACTGGTTGTAAAATACATGATTTAAAACACTACAAGGTTTCCTTGCCACTTAGCAAACAGAATTACTCAATAGATTATGTAAGTGAATTAATGCTCTACAGAAATGTTGAATAAATCTCTACATAAATCTACCATTGGCTAATAACTACTACCACTTCCTAAGTCCGTTCTATTTGTTAGGAACAAAGACTCAACAATGAAGGCAGGAGAGATATGTATTCATTTGTACATTGTAGAGAATTGATTTAAAAAATTATTTTGTATTAGCATTGATGACATGGTTAAGGTTAGCTCAATGATTTCACACTGGCAGGCTGAAAATGGCTGCCTATGGTGGCAATACATATTTTTGTCTTTTTTTGTCAGTCCTTGAACTTGGCCTGGGCTCTGTCCCTAAGCCTCTCTGTGCTCAAAGCTAGCACTCTGCCACTTCCGGCTTTTTGTTTATGTGGTACTGAGGAATGGAACCCAGGGTTTCATGCATGCTAGGCAAGCACTCTACCACTGAGCCGCATTCCCAGCCTGTGGTGGGGTTTTCAGATAACCTGATGATGATGTACTATTGTTAGTCTTGGTCAGTCTTCAGGAGTGGAAAGTAGTATAGGTCACAGTAAAAGCAGTTACAAAATATACATTCTGCATAATTTAAGTGGCATTCATCAATTCTAGTCAGTCACCTCAAATAATAGGAAAAGGTTAAACTACTTACCATCAGAAGACATTAACTCATCAATGATATCTCCACTAATAGACCCTGCTAGAAAGAAATGTGATAAGGTTTTGTTACATTTCTGTTTTTGTATTTTTAACAATAAAAAGCAATGATTACTATTTAAATGTGACTGCTATGTTACATAATAGTACTAGAATTTTATGGAAAGACTGTTTTCCCAAATACCTAGTATCTGGCATTTCAAACTTGAAAACTGAAGATGCAGAATAAAATTCTTCCAAAATTGACTCTCCGTTTTACAAAGCCTGGAGTATCTCAAATTCACTCAACTTTAAAACCTCAACTCCACTTTTTATTCCTTCTGTTCATTTTATCAACAGATCTCACATAGCATGTGGTACTTCCCTTGTATAAATAACATTCCCCCCTCATTCTTTCCCATCTCACTGCAATCATCCTGTTCTGTCTAGCCTTAAAAGTTCTCATCGCATGTTTGCAGTTGTACAAACATGTAATATTTAACTTCCCTGGCTTGTGATGATCTCTTTTGATTCTGTAAGAATATTCTTTCCTTTTCATATTTCCTGTGCTTTGTGTACAGCTCTAATTGTACTACTTCCTGGCCACAGACTTACCTTGATTCCCATTAATTTCATTTAAAGGCTTTCTCTAAAATGGTTCAGCGACTCTGCTTGATTAGCATATGAGTTTTTTTTTAATGCTCTGGAAGTCCATGGAGTAACTGTCTGAGCTAAAGCATATAAAGTGTGCTTGCTTTATTCATCCCAATTAGGTTATAAAGCTTTATAGGGACTCCCCCTGTAATGTATAGTCCTCCTTTTTGCCACCAATATAGTAATTCTTACTGTGGAAGGAAAGGAAGAATATGTGTACAAGAACCTAAACAAGACTCTACGTACAACTCTTCCCAGAGTGAGAGCAGTGCAGTACCCACCCTCTCCAGAGGTAAAAGTGGATTATGTACAATGTAGTTTTCAGTCATCTTTAACATGACATCTGTGTTGGTACAAATAATTCACATATCTAGAAGTAATGTTTTCCTTAAAAGTTGATAAAGCCAGATGCTGGTGGCTCCTGCCTGTAATCCTAGCAACTCAGATCTGAGGATCGTGATTTAAAGTCAGCCCCCAGGAAGGTAGCTCAGCAGTAGAGTGCATGCCCTGCAAGCATGAGGCCCTGGGTTCGATTCCTCAGCACCACATAAGCAGAAAAAGCCCGAAGTGGTGCTGGGGCTCCAGTGGTAGAGCGCTAGCCTTGAGCTGAAGAGCTGAGGGACAGTGCCCAGACCCAGAGTTCAGGCCCCATGACCGACAAAAAATAAATAAAAATAAATAAAGTCAGCCCCGGCAGGCAAGTCTATGAGATTCTAAACTCCAAATAACCAACAGAAAACCAGAAGTGACACTGTGGTTCAAACTAGTAGAGTGCTAGCCTTAAGCAAAAAGCTCAGGGACAGCACCCAGGCACTGAGTTCAAGCCTCATAACAGACAAAAAAAAATTGTTAAAAACTAAGTAAGACTGGGCTCCATGGAAACTTAAAAAAAAAAAAAAAAGATAAATCTGAGTTAAGGTGCCCACCTCCTAAGGCCCTATTTTTATTGTTCTAGCTATTTATCATTTTATAAGTGAAACAATGTACAAAAGATCTCCTAAACAATATAAATGAATTAAAACTAAGCCTTCCAAATATTAACAGAATATTGAGAAACAAAGGCAGAAGTCACTGTTCTATACTAGCTTGTTTTTTGTTAAAGGTCATCAGAACATATTGTAATTTATCTCAGAGGTAAAAAAGAATTTTATAAAACAAACTTCAAATAAGAGTTAAAAAAAGAAATGGCCCAGCATGCCCATAATACCAGCACGCAGGAGACCAAGGCAGAAGAGTTCTGAGATGGAGGCTAGCTTGAGCTGCAGAAGACAAGGGGGCTGGGCACCGGTGGCTTACGCCTGTAATCCTAACTACTCAAGAGGCTGAGATCTGAGGATCGTGGTTCAAAGCCAGCCTGGGCAGGAAAATCTGTGAGACTCTTCCAACAGACCACTAGAAAACTGGAAGTAGTGCTGTGACTCAAGCAGTAGAGTGCTCACCTTAAGCTGAAGAGCACAGGGACAGCGGCGCCCAAGCCAAGTTCAAGCCCACGACCAACAGAAAAAAAAAAAGAGAGCAAACTGGCCCCCAAAGAAATACCTTTTTCTAGGTATAGTGTATTCTGTTTGTTGATCCCAACCAAAATCAGAAGGATCATAGTTAGAGGCCTGGCCAGACAAGAAGTCAGCAAGGCTGTCTATTCTCAACATCAGGCAAGGTGTTACACTTCTATAATTCCTGCTAAGTCAAAGGCATAGGAGAATTGGTGTGAGGTCAGCCTTGAGCAAAAGCAAGACCCTACCAAAAACCAACAAGCACAAAGGGCTGGGTTTATGTCTCAAATAGTTGAACATCTGCCTAGCAAGTGGGAGGTCCTTAGTTCAAACCCAGTAATGCCTAATATAAAATATAGAAATAACTTTCTCTTACACAGTAAATTGTTCTATATACGTGTGTGTGTGTGTGTATATACACACATATGTATGTGTTAGTACTAGAACTTAAACTCAGGGACCCAGGCTCTCATCATGTTTTTTCACTCAGGGTTGGTGCTGTACCATTTCAGCCAAACCTCAATTCTGGCTTCTTTGCTGGTTACCTTGAGATAACTGCACTGGTTTCAAACCAAGATCCTCAGATCTCGGGCTCCTAAGTAGTAGTTGAATTATAAGCATGAGCCACTGGTGACTAGCTATATATTCTTAACAATGTTTAATTGGATTAGCTATTTCTAAAGTATATGTAGGTATGTGTGAGTCTGTGGCAATAACATTAAAAATAGGATCTGTTTAAAAATTTTCCTCACAATAACTATTCCAGTGATGAGTATATGCAGGAGATACTATATTAATACCTATTGATTAAGGTGATTGTGTGGCTTCCTATTAGCTAATAGGCTAATACTGACAAATTCACTAAAGCTCTTGAAAATGTTTAATCCAGTATTCACATTTTCCTCACCTGAGGCTATTTCTGTAGTGGGAGTCTGCTGGAGGTTCTGGCTTCTTTCAGAGACAGGCTGCTCAGGCAGGTCCTGTGCTGCCATGTTGGGTTTCTGTGGCATCGCTGGAGGGGAGGACTGTGAGGAAGGCTGCGTGAGGTCATCAGGTGGAGGGACAGGAAAGACCACAGGCTTGGACGAGCTAGACTCTTTATTTATAAGGAGTACATGGATAGGTCCTGAGTGACTCTTTAAATTTATCTGATACTTCTTTTGTCCATTCTGGCCCTTTGAAGTTATTAGATATAAACAAAGGATTAGTAACATTTATTTCTGGAAACTCTACAGCTAAGAACAGGCAAAACTACTGGAAGTAAGTACATTCATACAACAAAATAAACTCAGGAAGCTGAGGTACAAGAGTAGAGACCAAGCTGGGCACCAATGACTCACTCTTATAAACCTATTCAGGAGATTTGAGATCTGAGGATCACTTCATAGTCAGCAAGGGCAGGAAAGTCTGTGAGACTCCTATCTCCATTTAGGAAGCAAAAAACTGAAGTGGAGCTGAGGCTCAAGTGGCAGAGCATTAGCCTTTAGCGAAAAAGCTATAAGACAGTACCCAAGCCTTGAGTAGTAAAGGGGGAAAAAAGTTATAAAATTGTGCACAACATAGATATTGTTTGCTGAATTATTCCTGCCATAATTCTTACATTAGTTTAAATGTAATTCTAAGGATTTTTTTAAAAAAGATTATTGGAGGCTGGGAAGGTGGGTCGGTGGTAGAGTGCTTGCCTTGTATGAGGCCCTGCATTCGATTCCTCAGCACCACATAAGCAGAAAAAGCTGTAAGTGGCGCTGTGGCTCAAGTGGTAGAGTGCTAGACTTGAGCTGAATGGCTGAAGGACAGCAGCACCCAGGCCCAGAGTTCAGGCCCCAAGACAAAAAAAAAAAAAAATATTGGCCATATGATATCCTTAGTCTAGAAAAAATAAGGTCAAACTTTTTTTTTAATGTGTCATCAAAACACCAAATGACTCAGCCACTTCAACAGTTTAACCAAAGTAATGATGACATCCAAATGTCCCCTGTTAATACATTCAGATATAAAATTTGAAAGCTGTAACTAAAAATGTTCAAACTCAACTAGATCATGTTCAACTCAAGCAAATACATTTGTCCTTTTGCAATCAGTAGGCCTATTTCCCTACTTAACCTATTTCTGAAATACTACATACCATTTCTGGAATAGGAACCTCCAGCTGCGTACCAGAAGGGGCCTGAATGGCCAAAAGTGTGTCACCTGGTCAAAAATAATAAATACATGTTTAAAATTTGTAGAAAATATTAACATGAAGCTCTTAGAATACTCGGTATTAGCTCTTATATTCATATGAACAAATTCAGCTCATTAACTTTCACTTGGTTTCCTGTAATACCTGAGATTCTTTTAAATCTTTTAGCCTCAAACAAATAACTACTTGAAATGCTTAAACTTAGCCAGGATACTGGAGATTAGTAAGGTTGACCTTAATTTACTTTTGAAACCAAATTTTACAACTGATCTCTTATAACAGATTAATAAAACGTTCCCCAAACAATTAGAGAACACAGAAGCTCATATGGCAAAATGAAACCAGGGGTCCTCATGTATTTCCAATGTGGCCTTTCTGGATTTCAGAATGTCAGATTCTATCTCATAAGGTCCTCTGGCAGATTTTCATTTGCATGTGGACAATACAAATGTACTTAAATACATATAAAATTTTATTTGGTGTTATAGGAATACAGCATACCATTTTAGTTATTAATAGATGATATTCTCATGGGAGCAGAAGATGGAACAGGATGAGGAATAATTTTCCTGGTTATAAAAAGGACTAACAGGACTTTTTGCTCACGCTTTCTTTGGGTTCCATTTGTGCCCAACATGCCTGCTGGGTAGTTTCATAAGCAGCACTGATGGGAATCATGCACAATATTAGGCCTGGTAATTGTCACTTTGGCTCTGATTTAGTTTCCTCTCTGTTCTAGTTCCCATTCCCCTCCCACACTCAGTTTATGCCTAGCAGTGGAATCAATGAGTGAGCTGTGAAAGCAGTTATTGCCATGAAAACAGAAACAAAAGCAGTATGTCAACACATACCACTGTAGAGAGAGACAAAATACCAACTCCTAAAAATCAGGACTTAGGCTGAATTATTGCCTAGGAAATTCTATAGTCACTCTAGTCAAAGGGCTACTCTGATGAAGCGTGGAAGGGAAATGCTAATGATACTTACCATTAAAGCAATTACAGATGTCTTCATGAGTCACATAGGAAAATGTACTGTCGTAAGAGTTAAGGAAGAGCATTTATATCAGGGTTTGTGCATTAACTTAAAGTAATCTGAAGGAAGGCCTAAACTAAATCACTGATTGCATAAAGGTCCTGCTACACATGGCCAGATAGAAAAGAATACAGTTCTTCAGTCTAGAAAGACTGAAGCTGTGGAGTTCTCATCCTTTGTTCTGAACAGCATCTATCCTGATTTCTGTGTCATTTGAGGACTCAGGATAGAGTTACAGTGCACAGTAGGGGTTCTGAAGGAAGGGAATGGAGGTGCTGGGGGGTTGGGAGTGGGAGGGGAGAACAGATATAAAGATTTTACTTCCAGAAAAAGAAACTTAACAAAAAGAACATTCCACAGAGACAATTTTCTTGGGTTAATTTTTCATATTCTTTTCATGAGCCATGTATGACCACAAACATGTCACAGATCCTAGAGAGGGAAGGCATAGCAGGCCATATAGGAAAAAGACCAGGGTAGCCAAGAGGCAGAAGTTAAGAGAAAGAGGAAAACATTAGACCAAAAGACTGGTTGGGGTTTCCATAGAAAAAGCAAGGTAGGGAAATACAAACACTTTAGGACTAACTGCTTTTGAATAATGCTGACAGATTTTACTCTTCAGGGATGTTTTCCTGGTCCTGGGATGATGAAGGCAGAACAATATGGAGTCCTAGGTGTATGGGTCACACAGAGGAGATAAGGCTCAGCACTGGTAGTCTGTGTCTCAAAGACCTGCGCCTGGCTGAGCCCTCACTGTTCCTCTAAGTCATGGCCAGATCTAAGAGAGGCAGTTTCTCTCTGTTCAGAAGATTCTTAAAGGTCTCAAAATATTTGAGTGTGTGTGTGTGTGTGTGTGTGAGACAGAGAGAGAGAGAGAGCGCACATGCACCTGTCATAGTTTGAAGGAATTTAGGTGACGGGAATCTTACAGAGCAGGGAAGCATAGTCCAAGATCTGCTTCAATGATTTTGGATCTTGGGCTCCACAGGAAGAGAACCTCTTCATTCTCTTACTGTTAAGGAGCTCCAATCCACAGAATGGAAATAAATAAAATCATAGGTTTGTCCACCAGGTTGTAAGGTAACATAAAATATACTATCGATACACAAGCTGGGATCACTGTCCTACAACTGAAAGTATCTGTAAGTTAACATGAGGCATAAAGCATCACAGATTGATTGTGGACTCATGATTTGTCTTCAAACCAAATTAATTTTCCAATATTAAGTCCAAGCACTTAACCTAATTATTTAACTACTTAACGCATTTAGCAATAACATTCACATATCCCCTTCCCAAGCATACTTTGACTAGTTTATGACATCGTAGACTAAAGTAGATGAATCTTTCCTTCCTTTTTTGTGGTACTGGGATTTATGAACTCAGGTCCTCACACTTGCTGATAGGCACTTTTCCTTTTGGGCCACTCTCCCAGTCCTTTTTTTCCTGTCCATCTGGCGTCAAGTGCCATCCTTCTAGCTGTGCTTCCTTGAATTTCTGGGTGACAGTTCTCTTAGCATTCCCAACACCACTGTTTTCCCCCTGTAGCTTAAGTTGACATATACAGACCATCTAGTTACTGGTTAAGATGAAGTCTTGTGAACTTCTCACCCCCTCTCCCCCAAAGCAGCAAAGATTACAGATTTGAGCCACTGTGTCTGGCTAATGGTGTTTGTTTTTCTCCCTTTAAATCGACACATGAGTAATGTTAAGAGATGTACTTTAAAAGGTAATTTTAAAATAACAATGTAAATTATTAAGTATCATAAACTACTGTGTTTACAAGATTTAATCAGAATAAAGTATTTAACCTTCAGAGTGGAAGAAATACTACACACACATGTATTACAGAGCTCCATCTACAACTTCTTTCAAAGGATATCTGTTATTAATGGAATCATCCATCACATTTTTGATGCTTTGCTGTAGCCACAACTTCTGCTGGTCAAGTTCTCTTTCCTTCAGTTCTAGATCTTCAATTTCAGCTTTAAGAAATTTTAATCTATCTATAACTTCTTTTGTGTTACAGCCAGCACCTACACCTCTTAAAAATATAGGAGAATTAATATCCCTAGGGTTGAGCTCAGTTAATATCACTTAATTTTGAATATATTATAATCCCCACCCCCCAGCTTTCCTGAAAAGCAAATAAATCCTGACAATATTTACATACTATAGCTCCAAAAACACCTGCTTGGGGACAATTTATTGACAAAACAATCAAATTATAAAAATTCTCAGCACATTCTATAGTGTCTGTCATCTGGCAGCAAAAGGGCCTGGCAGTCGTAGGATGTAGATTAGATGTTGGCAATGTAACATAGAGGTTTTGGTGAAATTTTGTGTTATAAAACAAACCAAAGCTAAAGGGGTAGTCTACATAGCAGAAAATGTTCATTGCAAACACATACTAAAGCAGTGGTTAATAAATGAAACAGCAAAGAGTAAGGGAACATTCCAACATAAAGTGGCAGATACAGAGGCCTTGAGAATGTGTTCAGGAGGAATCAAAGGCCTGCTGTGATTGAAAGGTTGAAATAGCAGACTTGGAGATGGAAATGTTATAAGTTATAGAAGCAAAGGAAATTTTAGAATATGGTGTGGTTTGCCACTTACTTCCATTGGATACTATTTTTTGATTTCTTTTCAATCAGATCAATTCCTTCTAAGACATTGGTGATATCATAAATTCTTCTCTTTTGCCTAACAGCCAAAGTATCTGCAGCCTGTTCAGGAAAAACAAGAGACAGTAAAACGAAGTGCAGTGCATATTTTAAAGCCCAAAAGGGTTGCCTGTTAAGTTCACAGCATGAGAGTCCTTTCCCAAATATAACTCAGTTGCTTGAGAACAATAGCTAGATGTGTTCAAAGCATCTGCCAGACTTCACAAATACCAAGAAATCATTCAATTTCAAAGCTAGCAGATGTTGGGATGTGGGGAAAAATTAAGGTCATAACGCAAAGCCCTCAAAAAGAAAAGAACACAATGTGGTTTCTTCATGTCTTCTTAGGGACTTAACTAACCAGGAGCCACTAATTGTCTTGCTGTCACTTCTTATTGTCTTCTCTGCTCATAAGCAGTCTTATCTAAAAAAGAGCCCTAACTCAATATTTATATTTCTGCCATAATTAGAAAAAATTAAGGAATGAGGGAAAAATTCTGTTTCTCTTACTTTCTCCCTCTCCCTCTCTCTCTCTCTCTCTCTCTCACACACACACACACACACACAGAATGATATACTTCAATAACTATCTACATTTTCTAAACTCACAATGAAAAGAGATTATGCCATCCAACAGAAAGAAAATCAGTAAGAAAAATCCATAGCACAGTTGTGGCTCTAGCAACTAATATCTAAAAACTTGGCAGTTTCATTTACATTAGACAAGATCAATACAAATATTACATGCTGCAACATTATGAATGAATCCAAAAGCACTGTACAATTCCTCTAATTACTAATAGTAAAATATTCCTGATAGGTTTTCTAGTAATACAAGAAGTTCAAGGAAGAGGTTATCCTACCACTCTCCTTTAGTATCTTTGTCTACAGTCCTGTTTTGAATGGTGATCTGTTTTAGGAGCCATGCTAATGTTTATTTATATGCCCACGGACAATTTCATCTAAACCATTCAGCAGTATTTAGCAGTACAGACTTGGTTCCCATTGCTCCCAAAGCACCTCTACTTTCTTAGTTCCATTAAAGTGGCTCCTACAGATACCCTGAAGAGTATACCAGGCACAGGGAAGAGCTACTGCTCACTTAGCAATCATGTGGAGCCTTCAGTAATTCACAGGCTATCTCAACCTGCTCTACTATTATTCTCTCAAGTGGATCTTCAGAAGAGGATTCACCTCAATCAAGGGACAGGAGAAGAGCATGTATCAGAGAAGTGGAAGAACTGAAAAGTAGAGCTCTTTGGGGTTTCTTTGGTATCTTCTTCCAGAGACCCAGAAAACTAAAAGTAGGCCTAGGACCAGGCAGTTTTATGTTCTGCCCTGTGCTTCACTGTATTTCTGAGAAGCAGTAATCCACTGAAAAGTTAACTCTGAGAGTCTGAAGTTGAGATTTCACCTCTCTCTCCTCTGAAGAGGCTCTCTCTCTCAAGATGTAACCAGCACCCTCCCAGCTCTGGCTCTGTGCTGTTGGTATCTATGTACTTACACAGGAAAGCATCCCAACCACAGCAACAGCTCACTCAGCTTGGTGTTAATCAGACTAGAAGAGCTGTCCTAGGCCATTAGGCAAAATGCTATCAGATTTAACTTCTGGTGCAATGTTTTTGTTTTTTTTTTTGTCGGTCGTGGGGCTTGAACTCTGGGCTTAGGCGCTATCCCTCAGCTTTTCAGCTCAAGGTGAGCCTCTACCACTTGAGCTACAGCGCCACTTCTGGTTTTCTGGTGGTTTATTGGAGATAGGAGTCTCACAGTCTTTTCTGCCCGGGCTGGCTTTGAACTGTGATTCTCAGATCTCAGCCTCCTGAGTAACTAGGATTACAGGCATGAGCCACCAGCGCCCGGCTTGGTGCAATGTTTTTTAAAGTACCTTATTTATATTTATTACTGCTTAACAGGCCCAATATGTACTTATTGATTTCTAAAACATTATTTCTCCAATACCTTTCTGTTTAAGTGTGCAAATGGCAACATGTCCAGATCCTATCATTTCAGGAGAGGTTTCTACTTCAGCTTCTATTCTTCAGAGGTAAGTTCTAGAGTTAGACAGCTGGAAAAACCAGTCCCAGTTGCCATCCCATCCCCTCTGTAACTGGTGTTAGAAACAAGGCCCATGTCCTTTTTCTTCATATAATAAAAAAAACATGTACTGAATAGAACTGGATAATCTTAGCCAACATCAGCAATGCAGACTAAAACAGGACTGTAGGTAAGAGTCAGTTTGTGTGTGTATGGACCAACCTGTTTCATGCTGTTGTTTTTTTTAAAACTGAAAACATTCCCCCTATAATTAGTTCTAACTAGATCTTAAATTACCTCCCTCAAAGATGGGAGAGAAGTTGGTAACATACAAATAATTGTTTGGAGGGAATGCAGACCTAAGGAAGGTACTATTCAAGTATTTCTATATACAAGTTTGGTTGCACTTAGGCTGAATGGAGCGAGTGACCCCTACAAATAGCTGGTGAGGCACTCTGTGCTCTTGTAAGAGCACACAGCAAGCAGCACACAGCACAGACCCCATAGGGGTCCCCCCATAGGGACTCTGGAAGGTAAGATATGTTCAGTGCCAAAGGACAAGACAGGAAGCCAAGGAAATCAGCATATTAACAAGGAAAATAATGGATTGGGGAAAAGGACATAATCAAGTCAGAAAGCCTGGTGGACTTGGAACATAGACTCTCCAGGCCATTATCAAGACTTAAGGTTTTAATTCCAGTGAAATGGAATGCTACTGAGAGGCTGTGAGTACGAGTACATGGGTGATTGTGTGTGTGTGTGTGTGTGTGTGTAAGAGAGTACTGGAGTTTGAACTAGGGGCCAGCGCCTCATGTTTTGCTGAGCCTCTTCCACTCCAAGCTGGCACTCGACCATTTAAGCCAGACCTCTACTTCCAGCTTTTTGCTGGTTAAAATTTTTTTGTGTGCCTGAGCTGGCTTCAAACTGAAGTCCTCAGATCTCAGCCTCCTGAGTAGCTAGGATTGTACTCATGAATCACTGGCACCCAGCTCTGACTTCCTATTTTCAAAGGTTTTCTTATACTGTTTTATGGGGCGGGGTGAGGTAGAATACATGAGATCAATGGGAAGGCCAGCAGAGATAATTCAGTCAAGAGAAGGTGGTAACTAGGCTGGAGGGATAAGTTGGGGAGGTGGTGAGAAACGTGAGACTGTGGCTATGTATGTAGCTGAGCGTGTAAGAAGTCAAGGATAACTCCGTTTCCTTGAGTGACTTTTTATTTATGACTGTTAAGCAGTCATAAGTATAAAAAAAAAGATACCAGAGGAGTAAGTCTGAGATCCTAGAAATCAGGAACATTGTGATATCCAAGAGAAGTCAAGTCAATTATTGGACATGACACTGTGCAGCTTAGGGGGTGAGGAGGTTTAAGTTATGGACACCAATTTGGTAGGCATCAGTAAAGAGACATTTTAGGCAGCAATATGGAATTTACTGGACTCATTGAGGAGAGCAGAGAAAGAGAAGCAGCTCAGGAATCAACTCTGAAGCAGGCCAGTGTTCCAGATATGGGAAATGTGGGACAACTTGCCAAATGGGAAGCAAAATGCGAAGTGGAAGTGGATGGAGTCCAAGGGAAGAAAGTACAAGGAAGAACAGCCATGTCATGGGCTGCCTGGAGGGAAGTCACCAAGAAAATGAATCGATGTGTTTGTCTTTGTAAAGAACACTGGTGACCTTGACTGAAGCTGTTTGGCAGAAACTTAAATGGAGAAATTCTAGGGAAGAATAGAGGGAAAGCAAAAATGGACAACTCAAGATTTCTCCTACAATGAGAATAAGGCATGGGATGTGGGCTCTAAGAAGTGTTTTTTCTTCTTTTTTATTATTTTGAGGAAAGGTGCCATTTCAAAATACATATGTATGATAAGAATGATCTGGCAAGAAAGGGAGGGATAATGAATACAAAAGGGAGAAAAAAAGTCACTTAAGAGATGGCCATAGGTAGGCAGGAGCAGATGCAAATTAGACCTGCTGAGGGACTGACCTTAGACAACACAGGGTACAGGGTATATTAATAATTGAAGTTGAGAAGAGCACTGGGTGCACAAAGAGGTATGTTCATAGGGGCTGGAAAGGTGGCTCAGTGGTAGAGTGCTTGCCTTGCATGCCTGAGGCCCTGGGTTCAATTCCTCAGCACCACATAAGCAAAAAGAAAAAAACCGGAAGTGGCGCTGTGGCTCAAGTGGTAGAGCGCTAGACTTGAGCTGAAGAGCTGAGGGACAGTGCCCAGGCCCAGAGTTCAGGCCCCACGACCGGACCCAAAAAAAAAAAAAAAAAAAAAGAGGTATGTTCATAGAGAGGCTAGGGAAAGAGATGATACACTTTACTTTCTTTTGGTTGCTTTTGATTTTCTCATCAGCTTTTGGGAGAAAGAGAGAAGGGAACATTACTGGTTGAGAATTAAGAAGTCAAGTACTCACGTAAGAGCAAGAGAATAGGCAGTGCAGAAGGAAAGCTAGACAGCACTACTGACACATTTAAAATCAGTGGGCATCAATTTAAACGGAGACATTGACATCACAGTGCATTTTCTCTAGTCTAGGAAACTGCTTGGACAAGGGGCAAGAATAGGACAAGGTCAGTCACTTTCCTCATTTCCCACCTGTGCCTCTGCAGTGGTAGGTGAGTGCAGGCATCAAATTACTTACAAGGATAACATTTACTGTAACAAAATTGGCCCCACATAGCCAAAAAGGAAGGACCTAACAATCACACTAACTCAGTTTACAGGAAAAAAAAATTAAAAAAAGTATCCCTATGAAAGAAATACTCTTCCTACCCTCACCCCCCAAATAATAAATGCTTTTCTAAAAATATAATGTCTCACCAATGGCAAGTAAGCCCAAAGCCAGGAGAGTTGAAACAGTATGCAAGTGCTAACGGGTCTGGAGGATCATGAGACAACAGTCCTCCACTTGAACAAATAAGTCTAGCCCCATACTGGTTCTGCACAGGGAGGAAGATTACACAGTAGCTTTAAATGACATAGAATTAGTGAGAGCTCCTTTGCTCAGAGATGTTCACAG